AAAGACAGAAAACAAGAAACAGGAAGCAAAGAACACATTGTAAATCAGGCTTTAGACTGCGAGTTGGCTACAGATGGCATAGCATTCGAACTATTCTTCCAACATACGTCCTTTGAAACATTTATTGACAAATATGTCATTACATTTTTGAACGCTATAAGAGCATATTGTAAATATAATCCACCAATATATCGTTACAACGCATTGGCATCGTCCATTAGACCGTCTGACACGAGATTGAATCCACGCGAATCTCACGAATAAATAAAACGACACAAAATATAAAATGCCAGTTCTTTTTTTATTTAAACAAAATAATATTGGGAGTGTGCATTAATTTTAAGGGATTTTTTGATAAAAATACGGTGTTATTGTGAAAAAATGGTTACAAATTCATCATTCAAAATATTGTCCATTGCTAGCCACTACTTTTTCCCATCTTTCTGGTAATAAGTGAATTCTACGTCAAAAGAACGACACATCTTTTGAGGCTATCCACAAATCAAGCCATTTTTGGTATCCTCATAAGAATGAAAGCGCTGCTCAGACAGGCCATGAGTCATCGATCGAAATGGGTGGTAATCGGAAGGAGCAATATCTGGAGAATACAGCGGGTGTGGTAGGACATCCCAGTTGAGTGCTTCTAACGTTTCCTTGAGTTTCGTAACATGTAGCCGAGCATTGTCGTGCTGGAAAGTCACTTTGTCGTGTCTTTTCGCGTAATCTGGCGTTCCGCGTAATCCGTTTTTGCTTCAATGCTCGGCTCAATTGCATCAATTGTTGTTGGTAGTGTTCCCCAGTGATGGTTTCGTTAGGTTGGAGCAGCTCATAATACACTACACCCAGCTGATCCCACCAAATACAAAGCACAAGTTTGGCGCCATGAATATTCGGCTTTGCCGTCGATGTTGATGATTCGCCTGGCCTGCACCATGATTTTTTGCGCTTCGAATTATCGTAGCGTATCTATTTTTTGTCACCCGTCACGATACGATGCAAAAAACTTTTTTTCTGTGTCTTTGAAGCAACAATTCACAGGTCAATTTGCGTCTTTCAACGTTCCTTGGCTTCAACTCGTACGGCACCCAATTTCTTTGCTTTTGAATCATTCCAATGGCCTTCAAACGTCTGGAAATCGTTGATCAATCAACATTTAATGATTCTGCAAGTTCTTCTTGCGTTTGACTCCGGTCTTGATCGAGTAAAGCCACTTCCTGATCTTCAAACTTTTTCGGCTCGCCTGGACGTTCCTTGTCTTCCGTGTCAAAATCGCCTTTTTTATAGCGTCGCAACTAGTACTCACATGTTGAAATCGATGGAGTATAATCACTAAAAGTTTCTGACAGCATTTATTGACTTTCAACAGGACTTTTCTTTAAATGAAAGCAAAAAAGCAAGGCTTCCCGCAAATTGCGTTTTGTTGGCACAAAATTCGACATATTCAATGCTAAAAAAAAACAATGTTTACACTTCAGCAAAATGACACATATTGAAAACTAAAGCCACATGATGGTGCTTTGACATGAAGGTAGCAACAATATGACCCGATGCGATATAGTACTAGTTACGCCATCTCTTGAAAATCCTTTAAAATTAATGCATACTCTCAATATTTCATTATCCTTTAACTATTTTTATTAATAATGATTTTTCACTGAATTTTTCTAAATTTGTACTGAAATCTTACTGAAATATTAATGAAATTATAATGAAATTCTAATGTCACTGTGTCAATTGTGAATGCTTTTCAAAAACATTTCAGCAAAAGTTCATTACATTTTCCATAAATTATTTCCATCAGGGCTTATATTTCAATTGAGATCTTGCGGAAATTTCATACGAGTTTTTAGTTACTATCTCACATGAGATTTCAATTGAGTTCTCAATTGAGATCTCTACTAAATTTTTTCAGTAGGGCATATGAGAGCGATTGACATCGCGGATAAATCCCGATTGTTCACAGATGCTATCAGACACTATCAATATAACTCAAATTTAATCTAACCTAACACTAACTTAACTTTAATTAACCAAACAATTTGATTGGTGATGTCCAATTGGGTCTGTGGGCAATCGGTATATTCCCGACGTCATGGAACCTGCCTCGGAGTACTTACCCCTATTCGCGAAGTGCTATTTGGATAATATGTTCTGATTGACACATACAGCTCAGCTATTGCTTTAAGCAGCGCGCTAAAGCGGCTGCTTAGAGCGTTTGTGAGCGGCTCTTTTATTGCAACACTCGTTGTTACTTGAAAAGTTCGTCTACATTTTCTATTATATGTTTGATTTTTCGAATATATATGAATTAATTGATAGATATATATGATTCAATTTCAAAAATTGAATCTAGTGATTGTCTAGTAACGACATAGAAAAGTTGGGTCTTACATCGCTAATAGTATTTGCTAGCTACTAGCTAGGAATGTAATGCTCCCCGTGTGGAAATTTGTCAGATAAAAACTGGTTTGGTTCTAGCCGCGGCCCAGTTTTCTTGTATAGTTTATTTGAACAGAAGCTAGGCGAAATCTAGCTAGATTCGAATCAGTTTTGCTGTCTAGTTCTCGTAATCTCGTAGGCTGGCTAGTAGCTGTCTTACTTTCCTCGATGTAGCCCACACAGCAAAGAGAAATCTGTTGAATTTTCTAAAGATATCCTGCCGGAATAATGCAATATCCTACAAATATCCCATAGAAGTTGTGGATATATGAGAGATATTATTAGAATAATGTCCGCAGTTACGAACACGTATAGATATCGCATATTGTAGTGAAATATATTTGTATGATATCCCTGAGATCTCTGATTATTGCCGTATACAGGAAAACCCCGGAAGATATATCGCACGTATATTTTACAAATATATTAGTGATGATTATGGTAGGTAGTCTGGATATATCTGGAAGAATGTTTTTGATAATAATAATGACTAAATTTATACTGCTTACTTAATATGCATATCAATAAATATATAATTAATACAAAATGTGCTTGGTAAATCAATTTTATGCCGATATACTAATTTATATACATATTAAACAATTATCAATATAATGTAGACATTAGTATTATAGCAGAAATTATACAAAATAGAATTACACCAAATACAATAAATGTATCTTTGGTGGAAAGATTTCTCAGAATATCAGAAAATTCTCACAATTTTTTAAGATTTTTTATATGAATTGGAATATCTCTCACAAGGGGAACCCGGCAGTCTCTCATCACCGATTTGAATAAAATTTTATGGGTGTGTAGTATGCACTCATACATTTACTCCTGTAAAGCCGTAGGACTCACTATTGAGGCATTCTAGAGAAATATTTTTTTAAATATTTCGAGAAAAATTTTTGTTCCTATAGTACCGTTACGGAAAAGCGATCTTCGAGCTAGCAGCGTAGCGTCCACGGTAAGGCGTAGACTACTACGCTCGGGGTTGCAGGTTCGATTCCCTGAATAGTTTTTTTTTTTTTTTTATTTAAATCTTATATATTTTTAAATTTGTATATAACACAATTTTAAACCGTTTTTAATTATTTTATATCAAATTTTTTAATAAGTAATTTGTATGTTAAATAAATATTTTTCTTAATCAAGGAATTTAAAAATGCTCATTTATTATTAATTAAATTAAAATTTCTCATGCACACAAAAAATATATTTCCAATAAGAATTTACAATGACTGTTTTAAGGACGTCAAAATCAGAGTTTTCATAAATCGTTATACCCACAACGGGTTATCCCCGAGTGTAACAATTTTGGTCTTTTGTTCGGGACCTTAGAAGGTATATGAAACCGCTCGTCTAACGGACAAACCGGTAGTAGCAACAAAGTCGTTCTTCGAGTTAGACGTGCTATTTATAGTTTGCAGAAGATATTCGTGCTCTTTTACTTGCAATATGGATATTCCGGGACCGTCAACGAGCGCTAGTGCGAAGGAAGAAGAACAAGAATTGAATAACAAATTGCTCTTAAAAAGTGCCTTAAAAATAAGCGAGAAGTTGCTTGCTGAAAATGAGTATATTCCAGAAGAGTCTGTGAAAGATCTTTCAACGGAAAAGGTAACTGTTATAGGCCACGAAATATATAACCGTATCGTCGATATGGTTAATGATATGCGTCTCATTGAGGAGGAAGAATTAGTGCTTCCACATGAAGAAGATATTGATGACAGTTTTATTGATTGTGCATCAATGTATCCATTAGAAGAGTCGTCATCATCGCAGTTATCTCCACTTTCGGAAGAGTGGATCGATTCTCCGGAGAAAAAAAAATTCAAATCAATAGATTTGGATTACAAACGGAAAGTTGTAGCCATGGCAAAAGAACATCCTAATTGGTCGCTACAAACATTACAGAGAAAAGGAGCACATTATTTAAAATATAAAAGAGATTTAAAACAGTACGTATACGATTTTAACACATTCTATGTATTATATTCTATTCATTAAATAATTATAATGATTTTCTATTTATTTTTATTATTAGATGGGAAAAAGATGTATTATCTGGTGGAACGCGATTTGACAAACTGTATGCCATCAATTCTTGGACACTTGATCGATTTACAGAAGCTAGAGAAAAATTCGAGCAAGTCACAACAAGAACGTTACAACAATGGGCGATGGCAGCTGCGCAACAATTCCTCTCCAGCACATTTAAATTTTCAGCAGGAAAAACGTGGGCTGATGATTTTAAACGCAGAAATAATATTCGGCAACGACGGATTACCAAATACGTTTCTGAAAAAGAGGCAGCAGAAATGGACGAAATTTTGGCTGTTGCGGATAGATTTAGGAAACAAATCCAACCACTTTTACAAAATTATTCCCTAGATTTAATAATTAATACAGATCAAACTGGTTGCCAATATCAGTCAACAATTGATCGGACATTAGCACAGAAAGGCGTCCAATCTGTATTTGTTAAAAAGAAGAGTTCTTATAAAATTTCTCATTCCTATACGGCCCAATATGCATTAACTTGTTCAGGAAAGCTTGTACCAAAAGTGTTTCTCTGTTTACAAGAAACTGGAGACAAATTTGGTCCAATAATACAGAAGCAAGTTGATGCTCTTGTTGTCGAATTTGGTAATGTCATCGTCAAATGTTCAAGGTCAGGAAAATTAACTACAAATATCTATAAGGACTTTTTAAAAGAAATATTACAGCCATATGTTAAGAATGAACAGTTTTTATTAATAACAGATTCTTGGGGTGACCAAACAAATTCACAAATATATGATGATATTTTTGTGGATGACGAGGATATTCCATCTTGTCAAATAAAAATTATTCCGTCAAAGTGTACTCTTTTATGCCAGCCATGCGACGTGTATTTTTATAGACAAGTTAGAAATTTAGCAAAAAATTACAAAATTGTACATATCTCCTTAAAAGCAATAGAGAAATAGCCAATCGTGAGGATGCTATTAAAATACAATTTTTAGTTCACAATCAGTTAAGCGCACCAATCTTTTGTGATATGTTAAAATATGCATTTGTTTGCATCTCAAATAACAAATGAAAAAACTTTTTTTAAAAACGTTAACGAAGTTTGTTTTCCAGATTCTATTAATAAAACAAATTGTACAGACTGTGCGCATGAAATGTCTATGATTGTATGTGCATGGTGCAACGAATTATTGTTTTAAATGTTTTTATGATAAATACCACCCTAAAAGCTGCAAACTTATTGTAAAACAGTAAATTGTACATTTTAACTTATTGTATAACAGTCGTTGTAAATTCTTATTGGAAATATATTTTTTGTGTGCATGAGAAATTTTAATTTAATTAATAATAAATGAGCATTTTTAAATTCCTTGATTAAGAAAAATATTTATTTAACGTACAAATTACTTATTAAAAAATTTGATATAAAATAATTAAAAACGGTTTAAAATTGTGTTATATACAAATTTAAAAATATATAAGATTTAAATAAAAAAAAAAATAAAAAAAATTACTCAGGGAATCGAACCTACAACCCCGAGCGTAGTAGTCTACGTCTTACCGTGGACGCTACGCTGCTAACTCGAAGATTGCTTTTCCGTAATGGTACTATCGGGACAAAAATTTTTCTTGAAATATTTAAAAAAATATTTCTCGAGAATGCCTCAATAGTGGGTCCTACGGCTTTACAGGAGTAAATGTATGAGTGCATACTACACACCCATAAAATTTTATTCAAATCGGTGATGAGAGACTGCCGGGTTCCCCTTGTCAGTTTATTGTATAATATACGGGTTGTATAGAACCAATATTGTTCAATCAGGAATTACAACTAACAAATGTTTAACTGATAGGTTGTTATGAGTATTCTGTTTATATATATTATCTAATAACTATAAGTTATCACCTATAATAGGAATATTACATGAACTAACGCATATGTTATTAATCATAAATTTAATGTTAATTTATTCACGTGAGATGTTATGATATCCTTATGCAATGCAAGCTGCAGTTGTGTTGGAGTTATTTCTTTATTAGTCGTAAGTAATGCCACATTTTTAGCTTTTCTGAAAAAGAAAAAGTTTTGCTCTCGGTAATTATTCAGTTTAGGCCCCTCACTTTTCGATGACAGTAGATTCAATCGACGCGTTTTTGCACGAGAAACAACTTTTTCATCTGACAAACTCGTCGCTCTCTACTGCGAAGCGAAATATTAGCCGACAAAGTTGACTACTATTAAGGTTAGGAAAACTGTCACTGTCACTCTCACTCTCTCTCTCTCTCTCTCTCTGTTTATTTTACTTGGATTCAGACTTTTTTTTGCGGAAAACTCTCATCAAAGTATCAAAAGGTACATTTCTCAAAAGAATCACAGGTCCGAATGTGTTTGAACACGTCTTAATGTAACAGCGGTTAAGCCGGATGGAAAACTCACACCGACGACAAACAGTGAGATGTATATGCTCCATAGTCACTTGTGCATTTCCTATAGTTTTCGAAATATTAATAAAAAGATGCCTGTCTCTAGCCATGTATATGCTTTATATCTTATACTTATCTTTAGGATGTCTGTACGATATATTTTACACATTATCGTATTTGAGATAAGATATCTTTTGGATATTGTATACGGAGATATTTTCGAAATTTATTCATTATAATATACTGATGATATTATCAGGAGATTGATACATATTTCGCATATCCGCGATGATTTTAATATATTCTATAGTTATTAATTGCTGTGCGGGAGATGACACCACAAAGGGTGTATATCAGTTGGACACGGGGCAATTGGACACAGTCCAATCACAAGTCGCTGTTCCAAGGGACCCTACAAATGTCTCTAATTACACGGTGCTGTGATTGGCTGTGTCCAAATGCACCGTGTCCAAGTGCACCGCTCTCCACCACAAATGCTAAACGGAATGTAGCTAGGTTTTGGTCAGATTTACTCTCTAGTTATAGTAATTTCAAGCTGTGGTTAGTAGCTATATTTTAGATATAGACGGTGTTACTAGCTCCCATTCTGTTAATTGATTTATACAGGATGATCGGAAACAATCGCCTTCGGTTAATATTCTTGTATTTTTTAGCGAATTCTAAAACTATTTTTCCTCTTGCAAAATGTTATCTGAGGCTTAGTTGCTGAGGTATAAAGAGAAATAGTTAGCCACTCACAGGCCAGATACAGAAAGTAGGCAGGGACGGCACAATTCACCGTCAGACACAGACGTTGGGCAATACACATGTGACAATATTCATACATCTTAGTTTGTAAATTTTCAATGCTTGCGTCA